TTCTAATAATGTAAATATTGATATCTATATCTCATATAAACAAAGCTCTCTGGGGTTCTCAATAAATTTTAAAACTTTTAAGAGGCCAGAGAACAAAAACTCTGAAACCTCCTAAATGGCTAATACTAAAGGTTGAAGAAATTCTCTCACCTGGATACTCTGAGCCTTCAATACTCTAAGACTGTATATCCTTACATCTCATTTGTGCTCACGTATGCCACCTTGCTACCCATGCTTGGCAATGTCTTGCTTGAGTTAAGTGGAAACTATAATTAAAATATTAATTTGCTCTCTTATACCCTTTACTGAATATATGACCAAACTGTACACAGATGACAACACTGTTACATATAAAAGGAGTGTAGAAGTTTACTAGTACAAGTGGTAAGATGAAGCTATGTTCACTGATGGTATCTCAGAAAGAGGTCTCAAAGAAATGACCTCTTAAAAAATCTGCATCCCTAAAACTTCACTAATTTGGCTACTTAGACAACCTGATACTTGTTCTTTCTATACTATGCTGACTCCAGGGGAAGACTTTAAAACTTTTTCAAGCCGAATCTTAGTTTTTAAGACTCCAATCTCTAGCAGAAACAAATTGTCTGAGTGATAGATAAAACTGAATTGTAACACAAACCAAGGTGTAGTAATAAAAATGAAAAAGAAAAATCCATATCCAAAGTTTTAATCATAGGATTATCTTTCAAGTTTTTCAGAACCAAGGATAAAAATACTTAGAGATGAAGTTCCCAAGAAGAAAAGCTCTGTTGAAAGTAGTACAGTTTTATTAAAAGCAGAAGCAAACCAGACTATATGTGTGTTTTAAAGAATTGTACAAAGGTAAAATATTTCTTCTAAAATGTTACCCTCTTTCATTAAGCACTGCAAAGAAGCTTAATTAATTCTTCAAATTCTAACAGCCCTAAAAGCAAGTCTTAAATGATATTTATTTGGGCGTATAAATTGGAATGACATTTTGGGAGGACTACTTGAAAATATTTAGCTAAAATCGAACATGCATATTTACTGACTAAACAATTCCAGTTTTAAAAGTTTATCCTGAGGAAATGGGCAATGACATCCATAGAAAGCTTTTTCTTATATCACTGCTTATAATACTAAAAAATAGAAAGAGTCTAAATATATGAATATAGTCAAGTATATTGTAGCTTATTCTATAATAGAATACCATATAGTACAAAATACTAAAATTATATCATAAAATAATGTATGACAAAGAGTATATTGTGGAGGACAAAAGGCAAGCTATAAAGTTGTGCTATATGATCTTATTTCTGCTTAAAGTATGTATGTGCACAGACATGTTTCAAAGGGTATAAATTCTTATGCATAAATATAAACATATACTTTTATATATTAAGTATAAATTTTTAATTAATATGTACAAATTAATAGTATGTTTCTTTGAGTTTGAGATCCCACCTGATTTTTACTTTACCTCTTTTGAAGGAGTTTATAGTCTGATATTTCTATTATGAATATCTATTACTTATATAATAATCATTAAAATATTTACTGGAGGCAAATATGCAATTATTAGGACTTTTCACATTTTTATAAGACATAGTTACTGTATGTACAGTGAAGGAAAGTGGTGGTGAAGAAAGACAAAGGAGGTGAAAGAAAATGTGAAACATTAGTCATTTTATTATTTTATCATGTATATTTGTTGTAAAGTTTTAAAATAACTTTATGTTTAACAACCTGAAAAGAAACTTTCAATAGATCATATTAGTGAGTAGTTAGTGTTCACAAGACTTTACTCTATTCTCAGAGGTTTTAGATTTAGTGTAAGGAACAGGTGTCTTTCTAGTTTTATGTCTCTTCACTGCTTTATTAGCTACAGCTCCCTCAGAACTGTTTTTGGGAGCTCATCAAGCTTTGTCTAACCAAGCACGAAGTGGCATATGGACTTCATCCACATGGTCATATGAACCCTCTGCCTGCTGCCTCCCTCCATGGGTCTCATCTGTTTTCTAAAACCATGCTTGGAGAAGGGCTCTATCCCTGTAATGTACGCGATGCTGTGGGACTAGGGAATATTGTGGCAAAGAGACCATGTTAGCTGCTAAACTAGAATCTGGTACCATTACTACCACCAAATAGTAGCAATATATATTCGAACAAAAGGAGAATCAGTAATTCTGAGTGAAAAATATCTATCATACATTTCAGCTTAGATCTACAAATAACACTTGTTTAAGTGCCTTGTTAGACAGTGAAATCTGGGAATAATTATCAAATAGCATATACACTGTTTACAATAGAATTATATTTCTTTTCTTTCTTTCCCCCCTCCCACTTTTTTGTTGTTGTTGCATAAAAAGTAGAATGCTGCTGAATGGTACCCAAATGTCTGTTCAATACCATGCCAATACGGCAGCTCAGCCAAAAATGTGAATAGAATAGTTTGCCAAGTAAAAGAAAACAACAAATTGGTAATGGTTTCTATCTTGACAGAAAATGAAAATGATCCCTCAATGTGTGGCCATTCATGCAGACACATAAAAATGTCTTAGAAGCAATCATTTTACCTCAGATAACAGACCCTGACAGAGTAGCACAGCACACTGGCTGACTTTTGCTTCTTAGAAAAGTGGCAACCATGACCTACAAAACGGTCTGGGAACCATGTAATTTATGCACAACACACACACACATGCCATGCATTGATAGTATTTGCTATAAATCATTTTAAGTATAAGACTCCTTTCCTGAGCAGAATATACTTTATGAGAAAGGATCTAAATCACCACAAACTTGATAAAGCTGTACTTTATTTATGAACAGAAATGATGTTGCTGCTTATAAATTCAGTGGTCTATATTGCAATAAAAAGGCATTGCATAAGGGTCATTTGTATTTTGTGTGATTTTGCATTATGCATAATGCTTGAACACTAAAGGTATTTTTATTAGATGTTAGATAAAACAAGTAACAAAAATATTCTGTAGGTGCACAGTACACAAATTTGACTTTCTCTCTAGAAGAATGCAATGGAAAGCACAAATAAACGCCTTGAAGTCCTGTTAATGATTCTTTTAACTTACTTCTGCCTTTTTTACCACTTATTTTTTTCTTCCGATGAAGGATTAGCCAACATTACTGACCAGGGAATTTTTCCCCCCTATATCTGGTGAAGTTTTCCTATTTGTTTAACTTTCTAGTGAGGATGTGAGACAGAACACTGACTGTATGGTTGAATCCCATCAAAAACAAGAATGACACTTTTAAAAACACATGATTGATATCTGAAGATAATGAGGAATTAAAAAATGAGAGAGTACTGAACCAAAGGCTAGGAAGAACCTTGGGAAATTAAATGGTCTTGCCAAGTTGAAAGTAAATTTGAATCCTGTGGGTTATGAGTTTCAAATGAAACTTCTGGGGTTTGAATTTGTTGGTGACTTTCCTGTTCAATAAAAAAGGGCTTAAATGGCTTATAAAAAGGTTAAAAAAAACTTATTGGGCATCAAACTGCTCTTACAAAACACCATCTTGATGAGTTAAGTGTAAATGAATCAGAAACACATGGGTCATATTTCCTTAAAAAATGCATATGGATTCAAAAATAAGGGGAAGAGAACTTGGCAAAACATTTTTTGTGTGGTGGCTGAAACCAAAACATTTAAAGATATTTTGAGACATTCAAGGAATCCAAAATAAAACTAAACCTGTCCAGTCATATAAAAAACAGAAAGCTCTTCTATGCAATATGCACTTATCTCTATGGGTCAATCGACACTAACTGAGCCTTTGCATTTGGCACAGAATTATGGGAGGAGCCAGCTCCTGCCTTCAAGCCACTTTGAATTTAAGTATAAACAAATATTTAAGTACTAGAAACCTGCTACAAGGGATTGAGGATTTTATAAAAATTGGCATCATAACCCAGGTCATGTGCAAACTATAAATTAATTGAAAGTAGACAAGTACTTTCAGGGTCCTAGGTTAGGTAGGCTTCACTCCACTCAAATCGTCATCCTCTCAGCCCTTTCGGTTATAGTTTCTTACAGTTGCAGAGCCGTACGTGCTTAAATGTTTTCTAAGTGTTTTTATGTCTTTTTAAACTGTGTGTCCCAGCTCTCCTTCCTGCACCCTCTAGATTTGTTAGTGCTCAACAAATCTTGCTGACTGGTTTCCTGGAGGATGGGAGTGCTGAACAGTTTGGAAGGAGGGGAGATGCTGCTTGGCCGGGAGCTCTGAGGCCATGATTCTGTGTTGGGGTAATGGCACATGGGATGGTTCAGAGGCTCCAGAGGGTGAGTCATGTGTGGGGGGTGACGCACTGGCCTGCTTGCTGCGATGTGCCTGAGCCAGGGGGCAGTGGGAGGTGCAGGCAGTTAGGTGTGGGGAGGCCTAATATACTGCACGTAAAGTCAACTGGAGGACAGAGGGGTGTGATAAAGGAAACGCGCAGTTTTTATTCTTTTTTTTTCTCCCAGCATAGGATAAAGCTCTAAGCACAGGGCACGTACACATCATTAATTTATTTCTTATCAGTGTCTTTAAAAGCTGAAAAATATCCAAAGATAAAAATAAAATTAACTGTGTATGTGTTGCTAGGCTCCTGTAGATCATAAACTTGAAAGAGGAAGCTAGGATTATGAAATACCTTACTAAGTTTGTGGGAAAGTGTTAAAGTTATTGATTTATTGTCTTTTAAGGTTGTTTCCTAGCTGTTTAATCTGAGTCATATCTTTTCCACAATTTCAGAAGTTACTTAGGGCAGGGATAGTGTTAGGTATCTCTTGCTAGCACAACACTAGAAACACACCATAAACGCTGATTTATTCAGCACCTGGTATGTTTATTTCACTTTATACTGAACTGAAATGAAAAAAAAAAAAAGAGTGCTGAGGGCTCTATAGTAATGGCAGTAAAGTCTAAACAAAGAAAAGTATGACGGAGTGGAAATGTCCCCATCATGTCTCTGACCTGAGCCTGTTCACGGTTAACACGAAGAAATCAAAGCTTACCATCCTTCATCATCTTCAACTTCTGTTTCAGAAACGTCATTTTCAGGAGTTTCAGCAATTGCTTGAGTGAGTTTAGATTTAAACTGGTTCAGCAGTGCAAGAGTCTGAAATAACAATTAGACTGGTAAGTTTTCTGATAAAAGTAAATTCTAAAATAGACACTTAAATTTGGTAAAAAAGAAAATATACTACCTAGATGTGAAATATTCAGATAAATGTTTGAGTCTGAAGGAAAATAACAAAACTGTCTTCAGGCTACAATACTGGTATTAATAAACTTTGACAGTGTCCTATTTGGGCTTGCACTGACATTTTTCCTCAGAGGTAGTTTATCATTTTCTGATTGTGGGAGTTTATATCTGCTTCTGTGGAAGACACTGCAACTTTAAGGAATATTTGCTCTTAATTTTTCTTTTGTGGTACTGAGGATTGAACCTAGGGTCTTTGCACCAAGATACATCCCCAACCCTTTCTGAATTTTTAATTTTAAACAGGGTCTTGCTAAATAATCAAGTTGCCTAGGCTGGGCTTGAATTTGTGATACACCTGCCTCAGCCTCTCAGAGTGTTGGGAATGAAAGTGTGAGCCATCATTCCCAGGTTAGTTAAGCTTTGAATGTCTACCAAACATAATTTGCTATGACATATGGAATAAAAAATGAAACACTACCAACAAATAGTATTTTATATGAAAAATAATAAATAAATAAAATAAACAAATTTTGCAAAACATAAACATATTAATATGGAGAAAGTGAAATGAATGAACCCATTAATCACTGGAAGATAGGTAAGTTGAAATAATATCTTTAGAGAGTTGCTGACATGTAGTAGAAACTTTTCTTTTCTTCTGGTACCAGGAATTGAACTCAGGACCTTGCACTTGCCAGGGAGGCGCTTTGCCGCTGAGCTAAATCCCCAGCCCCTGTAGTAGGAACTTTAAAATGATCATTCCTTCTGATTCAGTAGCTCCAATCCTCTAAATACATTTTAGGAAAAACAACTTGAAATGCACAAAATGGCTAAAGCAACAATATTCATATGAATGGAAACAAATATATTTAAAGGTCTATCAATAAAGAACTACATAAATTCTGTAAAAAGCAATAAATATGCCTTTATCCTATGATTTAAAATTATATACACATAAAAACATTGTAAACTGGCTGTGGTGGCACATGCTTGTAATCCTAGCATTTTGGAAAGTAGAGGCTGAGGATCCTACATTTGAGCCCAGCCCGAGGACCTTAGTGATTTAGTGAGATTCTGTCTCAAAACATCTGGAGATGTGTAGCTCAGTGTGAAGTCCCTGGGTTTAATCCCTACTATCACCATCACCCCCCCTCAGAAAAAGAGGCACTGCGTTCTGCTGTTCAGAGAGAAGGAGGATACAAGTATTATGTTGAATATGTTTAAAAAATATATTTTGGTCAGTTTCCACGCTTTCTGTGAGCAAGAAAAACCAACAAATGGTTGCAATTTTATAATCAGATCCTCTCTTGGTTATACCTTAACAGTGTACTCCAGAATTTAAGCAGAGAATACAACCTAGGAAGAAATTTTTCTAGCCTAGTTTTAGAGTATATCCTTGTGAAGTGAGATAAAGTACTACCTGTCTAAAAAAATCAAGAGCACAACCATAAGTTTGGTTTGTTGAACTCAATATTAATATCCTCATACTTCATATGAGGAAAATGTATTAATAGTTCAACATAATGAATAGCAAACATAATAAGGTATAACAATAAATACTTAGGCTCCAGAATTTATTTACAAAATATCATTAAGATGACAGTTCATGAAAAAGTTAAGTACGTTTTGGCAGCCTAGAACCTGAACTTAACTAACATGAGATGTCAAAATGTCTATGAAACAAGGCAGTTATTGCTACAAAGTGACAGTGAAAAGTGGTTTAGACATTTCTGCAAAATTTAATGGTCACATAAAAAAGAGCTGAAAATTTCCACATTATTATAGCCATTGAATGAAATGAATTTGGGTAAAATTTATAAATTCCAACATTCTAAGGGCCACTAAGAATGTTACAAGTTGGACATTTTATGTTTCTATAGTAGTCACAGCTGTTCACTAACATGTATTTTATTTACTTGATAATAAAGAAAAGTTATTGTAGGAAAATTAGAAAGGAGAAGTAAAACAAAAATAACTATCACCTCTTTACTTAAAATAGCATAGCTAACAATTTTGCAGATATCCTTCAAGGCTTTGGGTGTTATGTTGGTGTTCATATATCTACATCATATGGATTTATTTTTCCATATGCATGCCTCTATATTTAATCTTTATCTTAAAAATCCTATCAGTTTTTAATGGTGAAGTATGTGTACTTGGAAATGTCTTTTCTGAGGGTATAAAAAACAATGAAAACGAAGAACACTTCTTAGTGGAATGATATTGTAAAATTTCCTAGAAAATTCACTAGACCTGGATCTTTCTCCCTAAATTAAAAGTGGCAAAGCAGTTTTCTTTTGGAGCCAATGAACACGCTACATGCATTCATTCAGAAGGATTGTGTCAAATAAAAAATATCCTCTTGGCTCCTCTAGATTTCTACATTCAAGATTGGACTTTGCCTTCTAAAGCAAGAGAAGACACTGGTCAGAAAAGAAGACACCACAAAAATACCAGTGCATATTATAGGGTGAAGAAGATGGCATCTACACGAAAGTATTTCTGTTTGGCATCTGGTGAGAATTACTCAGACTTCTGGCTTTTGCTGAAGGAATGAATGGCCAACCACTTACAGCATGACTCTTCAGCTCGGCGAAAGACTTTTCTCTGCATGGAGAAGTTATTGTGAAGGCCCCTTGCTTTGGCAGACTCTTTTTACATTCCACATTCAACAGTCTCTCTGTTGGCCTCTGTACCTCTAGTCCTGCCCTGGATCCAGTCTATTTTTTCACACTACTGCCAGGTTGGAGGGATCTTCCCAAAATGCAGATGAGATCATGCCATTTCCTTTTTTCAACAGTTCCCCATTGCCCTTAGGATCAAGTAAATCCTTAACATGGCTCAAAAATACCTTGCATAAGCTGACTCCTGCTTACCTCTTCAGCCTTATGCCCTTCCTTCTCTTAGGTATGTTACAGTTAGACTTAACTTTTTTTAGTTCTTTGTAAAGCAAAGGCTTCTCATATACTACTTCTTTCATCTACCCATACTATCGCTTCTCATCCTTTTGGCTAAAATTAAGTGTTGTCTACTCATACTCTGCCTCCCCTTCACCTGGGTAGCTCTTGTTTAACCTTTGAAACTCAGCTGACCAATAATTTTCTCAGGGAGATCTTCCTATATCCTTGGCCATGTTTAGGTCCTACTGTTATATATTTACACAGTTTTCTGCACCTATCCTTTCATAATGCTCACTTCCTTTTATTGATATTACTAGTTTAATAGGCTCTTTTCCCAGACAGCTGAGAGCAGGCAGGAATGTGTCTCGCTGTTGGTCATAAATATAGCAATTAGTACATGACAACTTCTTAAAATTATTTGCTTTCAGGGCAAGAAAAAAAAAAGAAATGTATGTATAAGAGTTATCTGCATCACTTTCAATAGTATAGTTTCTATAGCTGCTGTTCAGAAGACTTTGTGACTCCATGAAAACAAGTCAATAATTTACTTTTTCTTAATTTCATCTGATGTTCCATTGCTTTTGAAAGTTGCATATAACTTAGTACTCTGTAATTAAAATTTCCTACACTAGATTTCTGCTGAACTCTCCCTATGATTATTTTCATGGTAAGTACTAACGCGTGATCCTTCTTTACCAGTAATTATAATACAGTTTCTGATTAGATTAATTTAACCAAATAGGCTTGAGCTTTTTAATTTACTTTTATTTTGCCTGTTTCATTTTTTTTTTGCTTAAAATGGCATATCTAAATATCTATATCCATAGCAACACCAAAAATAAATGATTTTGGTTTGCCCCCTACCTTTTCAACATGAAGGGATGCTGAAGAGATTGGTTTTATCAAGCACAAAATACTACATGACATACACAGCTGACTCCCAAATTACTGAACTAGATTTCTCTCTTTGTATTTTTGATTTCTGACAATTTTCTCTTATTACTACTTAAGACTCAGGAATCACTTGCAAAAAACCAGGGATTTATTACAAAATCCACTAGCCGACCAAATGCCGTATTTCTAGGCAGTATACAAGTTCAAGCTGAGCTGGCTTAGCTGGCATGTGCAAAGAGCCTCTCAGCATTTGCAAGTGCCACTTCACCACTCACAGTGCGCACTTCTACCTGAATTTCTAGGGCCATGTCGTTTCAGAGTTCCTGTGCTTGATACGGGAGTTCTAGGTTGAAACTTGAAAGTATCAAGCTTTTTCACTTTAATGTCTGAACTTTAGAATTTGGACCCTCACATGAGTGGCTGAGGTCCTTGGTCGTGTACCCTACATAAATACATTTAAATATATCCTTATTCTTCTTAGGGAGATAGTGCTTCCCTGTTATATAATCAAATTAGGTTCTGTTTCATAATCCTGGAAGACTATTAAAAGGCAATGAATGACATAGAGATTTTTGAAAAATTCACCTGGTCTTCTCGGGAAGTTCCTTTTTTTGCCTGTTGCTTTCTCAAGGCTTCATACTTTTGTTTTTCTCTTCTGTATTCAGCAACAGCACCATCTGGAGCAGCTTCTTCCTCTGAAAAATAGTAGAATACTCTTAGAGTAAGTAGTGCAATCATATTAATGGATATGTTCATGCCATTAAAGAGGAAGTCCAAATTGGGCTTGGTTTCATCCTCTAATTTCAAAACAAAACCAATAAGCTCCATTGGCTTTACAACCATTTCCTCCACCAGAAAGTGACTGGTATTAGTTGATCAACCAGTTTTGTAAAAATCTTTATTCCATATATGATATTTTAACTGTTTTTCTCACTTGTACTTAAGTTGACTAGACTGTACTTATTTAAATTGACGATAAAAATCACCTATTTCACATTTAAAATTAAGGTCTTCCTAAAATCCAGAAATACTATTTTCTATTGTTCCATCTTACAAGATACAAACTTTCAAATACTGGTTGCTATACAATTATCTGTCACTTCTGTTTCCCAGTTGTAATAACAACACACTTCAACAGGATGGTAGCATATAAAATAAATAGACCTAACAAACAATTTAAGATGTAATTTAGGATAAAATTTAGAATCTAACAAACACTTTAGGACACATACCAGAAAAAAAACAAAAATGACTCTACTAAATCAGGATTTAGAAAGTCAAAGTACAGGTTGCATCCTGTAATAATTCCACATGATGATTGCTTAACATCCTGGTGTTTAAACACAGTTTTGCCTAAGGGGCTGGGGATTTAGCTCAGCGGCAAAGCGCCTGCCTGTCAAGCGTAAGGTCGTGAGTTCGGTTCCTGGTACCGGAGAAAAACCAAAAAAAAAAAACAAAAAAACAACAAAAAAAACCCCAAAAAAACCCCACAGTTTTGCCTAACACAACCTCAGTTAAACTGACATTTAAAAATACTTAAATATATATATATGTATATATATAAATTTGTGACTAAATATAAAACAGCAAAAACTCAACCTATTTCTTCCTGTCTTTGGCTGGCAAACCAAAACAAGGTAGATGTGATTAAGTACACTGGTCATCTTTCTACTCAAGCCTAAGTTTGTTACTTGACTCATTATAACCTAGTTTGTGGAACATTATGGATGTGCAATAAATATATTAATAATCAATCAATACATTTCTTCAAGAGATTTGCTAAAGTATATAATATAAAAATGTAATACTAACAATGATAATAATTGCAAAATAATATAAGAAATAAGTTGTTTATTTTGTGGCTATCTAACATGATTTTGATGGAACCTGAAAGAGTAATCAATTTTACAAATAATTTTATATGGATTCAAGTGCTGTATTTCCAGCTCCACTTCTAAGACTGACAGCTGTAAACGATAAAAACTGAGCACATTAATGAAAAAAAAGCCATTAAATACAGAAATAATACTTGAGGCCCATACACTTAGCAATCTTGCTAGCGAAGAGATGGTGTTATCATAATGAGTATACCTAGGATGATTCTTATGATAGGTTTTTAAAAATGAACAATATTTTCCAAGTGAGTTACGTCTTATCCTATAATAGCTGGATGTGCATTATCCTAGGATAAAGACCAGGCACCTTAACAATCCTAGACGCCTTGCTGGAGGCAGTTAATCCTTTCCCTTCCAGTCTCCTCCCTCAACTCCACCGCGTCTACCTTCAGTGGTTTCATTTGGCTTTAACTACTATTCTTTTAACGTATATAGATATATATTTTTTTTCCTGGTACCGGGAATCGAACACACGACGCCACACTTGCCAGGCAGGCACTGTGCCGCTGAGCTAAATCCCCAGCCCGCTATGTATATTGTTTACTTGACATCCTCCCCTCACCCTCAGTCAGTCGCCTTTCCCACCTGCTCATCATTCTCTCAGGAACGTTAAAAACAGTTTCCTCTCCATTCCTCAATTAATTTTTCTTCCTTAATTCTTGCTCATTCTTTAGGTTTGGCTTGGTTGGCACTTAGTTCATGAAGCCTTTCTGATTCCAGTCATTAAGCCAGGTGTGGATGTTCTCCTTTGGGCTTCTGGAGCACAAGCTGGCATGTCTGCGTATGGCACTTTATTGTAATTTTCTGTTTCCTCTTCTTTAACCCTTACCGGACATTAAACTCTTTGAAGGAAAGTCTTATTTCCCCAGCCTGTAGGAGAGTGCTTGACCGACAGACAAGTGCTAGCAGTTTGACACAGTAGACAGTCAAGTAAATGAATGAATAATGGCAAAGGAGAGGGGAAATTGAAAGGCAGCAGGAGAGCTTGACCCCAGAGCCTCATACATTACTGGAGTATTTGCCACACTCTTGGAATCTCCGGCTGCACTGAATTTAGAGTGATATTTCTTTCCTGCCATTTCCACATCGCAGGATCAGGATTGCATTAAATCTGTATGACAATTTTGGAAGTATGGCCATTTTCACTATGTTGGTTCTTCTCATCCATGAACAAGGGATATCTTTCAATTTTCCTATAGCCTCTTTGATTTCCTTTTTGAGAGTACTGTAATTTTCAATATATAGATCTTTTACTTCTTTGTTAGGTTGATTTCTAAGTGTTTCATTTTTTGGGGTGCTATTGTGAAAGGTCTGATTTCCCTAATTTCTCTCTCAGTTAGTTTGCTGTTTGTGTACAGGAAGGCTATTGATTTGAAAGTTGACTTTGTATTCACCTACGCTAATAAATTTGGTTATTAAATCTACAAGTCTTTTGATGGGAGTTTTTGGGGTCTTCTATGTAGAGTATCATGTCATCTGTGAATAATGATACTTTAACTTTTTCTTGCGAGTAATGATAATTTAACTTCTTCCTTGCCTATCTTTATTTCTTTCTCTTGTGTGATTGATCTGGCTAGTGTTTCCTGAACTGTATTGAGTAACAGTGATGACAGTGAACACTTCTGCCTTATTTCTAATTTTAGAGTGAAAGGTTTTAGTTTTTGACCATTTAGTATGATGTTGGCTGTTCATTTGTCATAGAGAGCTTTTATCAGATTGAGATAAAGACCGTTGATTCCAGTGTTATGTAGGGTTTTTATTAAGAAAGGGTACTGGACTCTGTCAAATGCTTTTTCTGCATCTACTGAGATGATCCTGTGATTTCTGTCCTTGGTTCTGCTAATATGGTATATTTCAGTTACTGATTTGTATATGTTGAACCATCTCTGAATCCCTGGGCTGAATGTTATTTAGTCATGGTGTTTAAACTTCTTGATGATTTGTTGTATTCTGTTGCCAGCATTTCACTGAGGATTTTTGTATTTTGGTTTTTTGACACACAGTATCACTATGGAGTCAGGATGGCTTTGAACTTGTGGCAGTTCTCCTGCCTCAGCCTCCAAGTGCTGGACGTACACAGTTTAACTACTTTGGTATTGTGTACAGTATATAACTTCTACTGCAATCAAGATAGAAAGCAGCTCCATAGCCCTAAAAAGTATCTAAATGTCCCCCACAGCCAATTTTCCTTCTCAGGTACTGGGCACCAGTATCTGCTCTCTGTCATCACAGTTTATTCATTACTAGAAACTCATATGAATGGAATCATACTATATGTAGTCTTTTATGTCTGAGTTTTTTCACTTAGAAAATATTTTTGCAATTCTTCTATGTTGTTCAGTATGCCTTTACCTTACTGAGCAGTATTTCATATCTTCAACTATATCTGGTACTGATATTCAACTCTGGCCATTTTAGTGGGTATGAAATGGATCTTGTTATGGTTCTGACTCATTTTCCTGATATGTAATATCATACTTTTATGTGCTTTCTTGGCCATTCATATGTTTTCTTTTGGACTGTGTTCAAATCCATTGACTTTTTCTCGTATTAATACATTTTAACAGTATACAAATATATTGTAGGTATAAGCTGCCTGTCAGAAATATAGTCTGTAAATGATTTCTCTCAGTGTATGGTTAACCTTTTCATTTTCTTAAATGTGCCTTTCACAGAGCAAAAGTTACATTTTGAAGAACAGAATTTTACCATTTTTGCATTATAAATCACATTTTCATGCATTATCTGAGATCTTTGCTTGCTCCAAAGTCACAAAAATTTTTCTGTATTTTCTCTTAAAAGTATAAACTTTTGTCTCCTTTCTTCAGGTATATGATTTATTTTGAGTTAGTTTTCGTGTATGGTGGGATTGAGGTTATTTTTATTATTCCTCTATGTAGATATCAATTGAGTCAACGTCATTTATTTAAAAAGGCTTCCCCTCATTGAACTATCAAGGCACTTTTACTAAAAATCAATTGATCATGTATGTGTGTCTATTTCTAAATACTGTCTTCTGTTCCCATTAATCTATATCTGTCCTTTTGCCAGTACACTATCTTGATTACTGCAGGTTTATATTGAGTCTTGAGATCAGTTAGTATAAAACCTCTAACTTTGGCTTTTTCCATATTATATTGGTGATTTTTGTTCTTATGCACTTTGATATAAATTTTAAAACCAGCTTGTCAATTTCTTCAAAAAAATTTGATAGGAGTTTTGATACTAACTACTATCAATGTATAATGAATGTATGCATTAGCTTGGAGAGAATTGCAATCATAACAATATTGAATCTAGTAAAATTGTATTGAATTAGGCTGTTTCTAATACAGTCCTCTTGGTTCCAGCCATGATATAGAGTGGTGGTGCTAGATGTGAGGTAGGAGTGGGGAGTAGTTATTTGTTATCATTTTTAACTATCTCAAGATTTATATATCAGAGATAGGAATGTTCTGAAACAAGTATAGGTAATTTCAGAATGATTAGCTGATATTCATTCCAGAGGGGAAAAAAAAACATGACATAGGAAAAATAAAAATTAGTTTTTACAGTATAGAAAACAAATATAGCTGCACCTCTCCTCGTACAAATATTGAAAAAAGAATGTGCAATGTAATTCTCACATGAAGATTCACTGAACACGTCAATGAACAACTCCCAACCAAAATGAGCTAAGTCATCAGAAATTATTTAATAAAAAATAACAAACAAAATTTTTTATTAGGCAAAATTTCCTACACAAATGTAGAGAGAACAATATAATGAACCCCTTTACCAATTACGTACCATCAACAGTG